ATACATGTGATGGAGCTTTAGAAAATACACTACACCTATAAGTTAGATATTTTCTGGGTTTATTGTACAAGTTGTATAATATATTATATTTATTTAAAATACATAAAATTGTATWAACTAAGTACTTTCMGTACTCATTATCAGTATTTTATTTTAATCATACTACTCAATTGTAAAAGCTCTAAAATTAAAATTAATTTTATATACAATTAATTTTACATGTTATAATAAAAATTAATTTAAAATCATATTGACTAAAAATAATTTCAAAAATGTATAGATATTGTTAAATAAACAAAAAATACTGACAGACTCATTTATATAGGTACTTAAACAATATGTTCATTGTTCGTCTTATATAGTTATACGCTAATATGTATATCGATGTACATAATATTATATATAATTATTGAATTCAAAAATTTAATTCTACTTTACTTGTAATTAGCATTAATTTTAATATACTGATATAAATTTTTTTCATTTTCGTACCATTTCAACGATAACAAGAACATCTAATTATTTCACTAAAATATCAAAACAATCCAACGTACCCTTATCACTCCGGATGTTCTTTCAACAATAGGCTCCGGCAAGTTCACGAGTGCAAAGATCCCAAATGATAACAATKGAGGTCATTCATATTTCCACTAAAACGTTTTTGTCCTTGTGTCAGACCGAAAATGGACCTACTTCCTAAATTCACTAGGATATATATTTTATATTTTGTTTGTTTATATATATAATCACATTACAGAATACTCTTTATTTTTATAAGTTTTTTTTTTTTATATTGAGTTGTTTTCAAGCGATATTGAAATACATTCAAAATGACAAAATATTAAATAACTTTATACACACTTTTAATTAGCCATTTGAAACCTAACGTATTACGGATTAACTTACTGTTAGTTTTTATGCACAACAGTTTACCAAGAATTTTAATTTTAATTTTATAATTATACACCATAACCGCATTATTAGTGTCTCACAAAAACTTTTGAATCTATAATAGTCRAGACTGGGCATTAACGAGTTAGAAAATTGATTCAATTTAAATTTTAAACTTAACTAGTCATATTTGAATTTTTATTAACTTTACTATTAACTTACTAAATTTTTATTTTAATTAACGTGAAATTAAAGAATTAATTTTTATTTTAAGAAATAAGTTAAGTTTATTTATTTATTTTTTATTTTTTATATGATGAAAATTTAATGTATTGTTATTAAATTATATACATATAAACAATTTAACTTTTTTTAATATTTAAATATTTTATACTCAATTTTATTATATTTTTCGTTTTGTCTAAAAGAAATATAAAAYAATTCAATAATATATCTACCATATATTCATAATACAAAACAGTTTTCGATATTATATTACCATTTTATAATTATCTGTGACGGAATCTCGTTTTATAAACATTAGGCTTAAAAAGTGTGATTTTGATAATAAAAAATGTATTCACAATGTCACGGTAAAATACGGATAAAAATATTCCAATTTTTAAAACGTGACTGCTAGGTATTTAAGTATCTTATTGACGTTGAATAAATTATATTCTAGTATATGTATAGGTACTATTATAATATATACTTATAGTAATATTAATATTGTGACACTGTGCCTCTAAAATGTTATAAATATAATATTAATAGTGCTTATTGTATTTGAAAATATAATATTATAAACAGTCTATAGCTRTATAAAATTTCTGTGTAAATCGTAAATGTTGAAAGTACGGTCGTACTCACATGACATAATATATAATTATTTAAATTTGTTATGATAATAGGTATATTATAGTAATGCGGATACCCATCATAAATTGTATTGTATTACATATGTGTAATGTATATTGTGCTATTTATTTGTATTGTCACGTCTGTATSTATGTATTTGTGTGCATAGCATACCTATCGTTTTAATGAATTACTAAATGATAGAATACACCTATACCTAGGAACGATAAGCACGATATTAAATTAATACACACGAATAATTTAACAGGTATAGTTTATTTAAGACTACAAATTAGTTTTTTTTAYTTTAGTACACAAATGCTTTTATTTAGGTATTTAAACGTATATCCATCAATAATATTCTTTTTTCAGTTCAAATTATCTAAACAACAATAGAAAGTTCTTATCGAATATTTCTACAACTTTATGGTATAAGTCTATACGAAAAATAATAGAATATATATATATTTTTTATTGATCATAATATAAACTCGGCAGCTATGGCCATTAGTTACAACTTAATAAGTTGTGGTATTTACAGTTTTAACAAATATTTTTCATTTTTAAATAGCAAAAAGCTTAAGGTAAAATATGGTTACATTGTATATAAAAATAGTTAACATATTATTTTTAGATTAGATTGCAAAGACCTATTGCTTTCAAAAATTAATAGAATATATTTTACTTAATCCAATTGACATAATTAGGTTACACTAACACATATTGCGTTTTTCTAAAATATAATTTTAAATATAAAATTTTATAACATTAATTAGTCAATATAAAACAAATTAAATCTTTAACACTCTCCGTTGTAATAATAATAATTTTTAAGTTAAGACACTCAATTTAAGTGTGTTTAAAAAATCTTGTAATCTGAATGATAATGTAAATAGTGCCATTTACGTAATTTCTTAAGAAAAAAAYAAGCATTATGTAAAAGACAATGTAAACATTTGTGTTAATAAAACCTAGAAAATACAGTGAACAAATCTCCTCACAGCTTCGACTGGTTAATCCTCTATGAATGGAGGTATATCTAATAAAATTTAACGTGATGATTTCCTTCCCCATGATTCCTCATCTATTAAAGCTTTGTCTCCTCCATTAGCTAAGTTTCTTATCATAGCATATCATTATTTTTTTTAATTTCAGAATGATGTAGGTATCCTAATCGGGTGATGCTGAGTGATGAACRGCGATCAAGAGTTGGTGACCGTATTGGCAGTCTGTGGCGTGGCTGCCCTAGCCATGTTCATAAACGGATACGTCTTATTAGTTATCCTACTTAGCAAACGGGTAAGGTTTATTACTACGTTATAATATTGGATTTATAATCCCTATGATTTTATCTACGAATAATATTCTAATTAAATAAAAAATAAAAAATAGTCTTTTGATGTTAATTTATACTACCCATTTTATTCAAATATATATGTATGCACTTATTAAGTATGATATGTTAATAGAAATAATACATAGATACTGAACAATGGGCAGTTTATATGGGGGTGAGCCCCCCCTCTTCTCCAGAGACTTGTGAAAAAATCTTTGATAAGTTACTGGTACCAACTTAAGTATTTGATATTTCTAAAACAATATATTTTTAAGCATTTATTTGTAGTATTGCTTTTGCCTTATTTTTTTGTTCTTAAAAACGTTTCCAATAATTTCATTCGAGCATAATGCGATTGGGAATAGCTGGTAGCAAATAATACCTACTGATGAAATTGTTATGTCAATAGAATATATTTTATACTCGCCATGTATATAGTTCTGATAGAATATAAATTAAACGCTCGACAAAACAAAATGCACGTTAAAATTTAAAAACCTTAAAGAAAAAATATCTTATATAAGTTATTAAATGATAATTTTTTTTGAATGAGAATAAATTAGTATACTTCAAATTCATTATATTAACACAGCCACGTCAACAAATATAAAAAGCTCAATTACGCATATGCTTATAAAAGGTCTAAATTACCTACAGCGATTACCTACCTTGGTAAAATGTTCTTTTGGTTAGTAATATAGGTACTTACAGCTGATTAATATGAATCAATTACCCACACCTTGAAAAAATTATAAAAAAAAATTAAGAATATAAAACCTATACTGTATTAACTATTAATGGACTTATAGTTTTTTTAAGATTTGTAATTCGTAATTTATAAATTTGTTTTGGCTCAAMTATAAAAAACCTCTTTTCACATTAGACAGAAAGTATCACAGAAGATGCTCCACGAAAACTAGTTACCACCATGATTTTATTTATTGAGTACTCATATTATACAAAAAATAAAAAAACGAATCGGTTTTGCTCAATATTGATAGAATATAGGTACAGGGCATTAATTGTTATCGACCCACTACCGATCATAAAAATTCAATTTTCACGATCGATATTTCTAAACATCTTAATATGTTAATAAAAGTTTTAAAATCAATAAATATATAAAAATATTTGTTCATTTAAAATATAGACGATTAAGGAACAAATATAATAATATTTAYAAAATGTCATCATTCGACCGACGTAACTAACCACAATTATTCAGTTTGGTGCGAAATATGAGAGCGTCTCAGTTAGAAATGAGTTTCTTTTTACTGTATAGTCGCGTTTCTCAGCCGTTTTTGTTCCCTATCCACCTTATTCACCTAAAATATATGTCTTACATTGTTACCTACCAATATGTTAAATATAWCCAATTATTTATATATTAATAACTATTATTATTAGGTTTAAAACATGTTAATTTACATACACAACACTCGGCGTACCTGTACCTTTACAAAATAATTAAATAATATATAGGTACTATAACTTTAACAAAAATAAATATATGTAACTTCCTATTTTCATTTAGATTCTGAAAAAGAATGAGAAAGTTATCGATTTTTACAATGCCCATATACATATATTTATTTATTTATTATAAAATGCTATAKAAAGTAGTAAAACCATTTCTCAGTAGTATATCATAAGAGATGATTCAAATTTCATAAAAAAAGTGCACTGGAGCGTTCAGATATGAAATAAACAATAGTTAGGAAGCTATATTGTAATTTTTTTTTTTTTATTTGTCACAATACAACACTTTACATTAAATGAAAATTGCATTGCTTAACCTTTCAGAATTTAACGGCATTTTATAATTCTATAGACTATAATAACATGTTTGTAGAATTTATTTGTTTTGTTTAAAAAATGATATGTATAAGCAAACCCTCGCACTACAAACAGATCACCTTTGTGAAATMTGATTCATCCCGATCCATTTGAAATTCATGTAAAAGAACCAATAAATATCGTTAGAAATGAAATAAATTTAAAAAATGCGTTATTGGATAACTGAGAATTAACTAAAGATCATGTTACACATTACAGCATACAGAAAAATAAATAAAAAAACGAAAACCTGAACATGCAATTTACCTGATATTTATACATATTTCGTAGACGAGTTCACCGATCAACGTATTGCTTACGCATTTGAGCGCTGTGGATTTGATTATTTGCATCGCTGTACTCCTGTCCATCTTACCGGAGACATTTAATCAATACGAAAAAGTCGCTCCATGGTTGTGTCCTGTTCACGGATTTCTGTTTAATTTCCTGCATCCAATGGCCATTTGGACAGTCTGCGGTCTTAATTGTGACAGGTTGGTATCTATTGCTCTATAKATTTCGTCTATAATTCGTTATGCCTACGTACGATACTCAAAAATCGTAAGTATAAAGTATTAGTTCATTTTACACAAATTTCTGATTATATAAAATGTTATAAATTAAAGTAAATTCGAGTTAAGAAACTCATAGAAGTCATATCATACAATTAAACCGCCAATCACTATTTAATCATATAACTATATATATATATATACATATATAGATATAGATATAGATATCATTTATTATTTTAATTATCTAGGCAGTAGATATCAAATTGAACAAATTTGTTTTAAATATTTYTTGTACTGTAAAATTATATATTTTAATATAAAATCCTATGGTTAAGTTTCTACAGTACGTGAAATTGATGTTCGTATATTAATTAGAATATTATATCAGTATATACATATTTATGATACTAACCACTAACTTTTTTTTATTTAGATATTATGCAATTGCGGCACCATTGCATTATGGAACACTTGTAAATAGCCGCAAAATCATGTTTGGTCTCTGCGGCACATGGATTGTATGCTTGTTGATCTCATTACCACCAGTTTTCCGGTTAGTTCCTTACACTTATCAACCGGGCTTACCTGTTTGTACGACAGATTTCAGCAAAGGTCGAGCAACTATTTTTTATAGCATTTTCTATACGACTATTACTTTAGTACTGCCTGGCGTCATCATACTTGGATGCAACATAAAAGTGAGTTTATATAAATATAAAAATCCTATTGACTCTATATATAAGCGTATTCGTGATCTATTATTAATTAATACGGAATTATTCATAAAGTTGAAATTCAGCAAACGATACCGTACAGTATACACTGTTTAAACTTTAAAGTTTAAAGTGGGCTGATCTACCAAAAAATGTATGATGGTAAATAGAATCCGGTATGAATTGATTTTCAGTGTTTCTAAGAACAATTTGAGTTCGATACAACTTAWCCAATCTTTCGAAAAATGCATTAAATTTCAATACCTATCCAAAATATTAAATAATCCAACGTCAGAAAATATTCTTATATCAAAGATTTTTTGCATAACCAACAAACAATTAGAGTCATATTGAGTGCAATATTACGCGTTCTGCAATAGAATAAAATAATACAATTTTAGATCCATTACGTTATGCTAGATTTTCGTTTAAAATACTAATTCAATTAACGTGTATAATATTGTAAATAACATAATTTTAAAACGTCCAAGTGGGTAATACTTATAACATTATGTTGAATAAAAATATTAACTTACCAGTAGGTTAATTATTAATATGCATATTGATTATTTATTAATTATGATTTATTGATCACCACATTGCCGTTTGCAGGTGTTCACGATCGCCCGGTACCACAGGCACCGCATAGCGTCGGCGATATTCGAAGTGACGCTGTCGGCACAGGTGACCATCACGCACCAGCGAAATCCGTTCTTCCTGCCCACGGCGATGGCCAACAAACTGCGCCGGAGCAACGCGTTTTCCGCCGTGTTCCAGATCGTCGGTTCGCTGGCCGTGTTCTACCTGCCATACTACGGCGTGTGCCTGTACGAGTCACTGTGCGCGGCCATTGGCGCCGCACCGCGCACCGACCCAGCCGTCAAGTCGCTGTCGTTCGCTCTCATCACCGGTTCGGCGCTTTGCAACGGGCTTCTGTACGGCATCAAGAACAAGCTGCTGAAGACGACGTACCACAACTACCGGCGCGATATGATGACAATGTGCGAGGTGAACCAGGAGATTCAGGCGCGGACGCCTTCGGCGTGCGGGTCACGCAGACCGTCACTGACGCCGGTGGCCGTGGCGGCCGGCTACAGCAGTAAAACACCTGTGGTTCCAGCGGCCGCGCCACTGCTGCTGTGCAGCCGCCGGTCGTCTCTGATGAGCCTGTCCGAGGCAGGTGAACCGCCTGCCGCGATGGCGGCCAGACGTTTGCCCGGTGCCACATGTTCGGCCAACGCTCTGGATTTTGGTAACTTTTACGTAGACGTCCATTTCGACGGTGGCACCGGTGGTGCAGGTGTCGATGGGGCTGGCGGCGATGGTTCATCAATCAGGCGGTGCTACTCGTCAACCACCAACGACGACGGATCCGAGCCGGGTGGCCGGAGCGCCGTGGCCAACCGCAGCGCGTTCGTACGGCGCATATTGCGCGACTCGCGACGGTCGCCCAGGATATTGATCACGAGGGCTATGTCCGAGGARAACGAACCTTACTCGTCGGAACAGAGTGGCGGGGCCACGGCCATCTGTGGCCGGAAGGACCGCMGGGTTGGCGTGCATAATTTTTCGTCATCCGCCGTCACGCTATTTATCGACGACTGCAGGCCAAACAGCGGCCGCGTCCACTGTCCGGACGTCGACTACGACTTCGACCACGATTGCGGCAGCGGCGTTGGCGGTGGCGACGATGACGACGAAGATACTTCGCTGGCCTATTATAGTAGCCCGTCGTCCAGCAACGACGGAAGCGGTTGCACGGCGAACGGCGGCCTTACGCGGCTGACCAGGCTGTCCACGTGAGTCCCAGTAGTGGCAGCGATTCTGACAAGCAGTATTAATTTTTCCCCGGTGATTTGGTTCTCTTCTCATCRCCATCTTATCGCACGCATAAAAATGACATRTTTTGAACTGAAGCTGAATTATATTGGTTCCCGTGTTAATTACTTATATATTATAATCTCGAACGATTCTCTTGGAGTCAAAACTGTGCGTCTCTGCGCAACTATACGACAACTTTAATATGCCGATGCCGATCCGTTGAGTGAACTCCAGTGATCACCGTGGACGAAAAAATAATATTTTACTATATCGCAACAATTAAGACGTGCAATAATATAAATCGGCTCCGAAGAATATAATATAACGCGTATAGGATAGCCAAACGAAACCATGTTGATGATAATGTTACTGCTATATCTATACTTGAACCTATTTATGCTATAATCGTTTAAAT